CATTGTCATTTGCTTTAACAGTTTATGTAACGCATCTAATCGCTGGCATTTGCGGCATGCGGCAACTTTTTTTACAAAATAACTGAATTGCCTTTGAAAAGCCTCGCTTTGTGTGTGTGTGTGTGTGTGTGTGTGTGTACATAGTTGGTTTTAAGTGTGGCGCATAATTAATGCAATATACACACGAAAACACACACACACATCATACTCACCTTTGCGCTCAACAATTTAAGCACCTGCGACACATAAAATGAAGTCATATAGGATGGCAGCTGTATCTGAATCCTTCTGCCTGATAAATGCGAGCAAATACACAGATACACACACACACACACACACACACACGTGCACGCATGCACACAGAATCTCTGACACTTGTTTATTTTAATAATGTTAACCTAATTAAGTGATTAATATGCAAAATGTGCGCAGAGATTAAAACGCCGCGCGGCATCCTGTTAAATTTTCCATAACGTTGGCTTTTTTTTAGCCCTTGCCACTGTCAGAGTTAAAGGGTTCACGAGCATTAACATAAAGTTCGTACAACTTTTGGGTTAATGTGCTTACATGATTTGACGCTAGTTATGGTTGGTCTATAAAACTGACAGGACAGACAGCAGGACATGGCAAGATCGGCTCGGCTATTGATGCTGATCAAGAATATAAATGCTTAATGGGATTAGATATGCTTCCTTTTTCCTGTTACATACATTTGCCCAAAGCCTTTGTAACATTTTTGCCCATTTTCAATGGGCTGAGAACTTTTTGTGTCCTGTTTTATTTTAGGGTAAAAATTTTTTGAAATTAATAAAATACAAAATATAATATCCACTGTCAATTTAAATGCTCTCTTTTAACGTGCTAAAAAACGAATCAAATTAATTAAGCTTAATAAATTGGTTTTCAGCCCGAAGCGTCTTAGTCACAACGATCTGTGACTTTGATTAATAGATATAACTAATCCATAGCTAAGCCCCATTGTATTACAGCTGTCACCTGCATAGTGCAACACATTTTTGCCCCTACAAATATTTTACATGCCTTACACTCCAACTGAGCTTAGCCGAAGGCCTCAAATGCCAAACGGGCAATTATTTGCGTTGTTAGGGCGTAAACGCCTGAAAGTAGGCAATAAAAAGGCGTTTCGTCTGCCTAAGCCTTTCACTACACTAAAAGCTACTCAACGTTTACGGTTCCGGTTCCGCTGCTTTTTTTCCTTCTACTTTTCCTACCGAGCAGCTAATTGATGAGCAGCAAATGGCGCGTGGCGCTAAAAAAAAAAAAGGAACGTGAAGAGAGAAATGCGAGCAGAGAATGCAAAAACCTTTTACCGTAGGCAACTGTCAAGCGAAATCTTTGAGCATTTCTCAAACGCTTCTGTGCACAATTAAAGATGCAGCAAAAGCGGCTAAAACGGCTGAAAAATTGGCCAAAAAATGGCAACCACTTGGCCAAAGAGCTGAGCGAGTCCTTGAGCGCATGGCTTTAGAAATTAGAATTAATATTTTTGCGCTGAGTTAACACAATTTCAAGTTGGCTGCGCGGGACAAAACTGAATACCAGAAGCGGTCAGCTATTGTTGTTGTTAGCACCTGTGTGCCTACCTTAGTGTGGGCGAGTGTCTGTTGGTGTGTGTGAGTGTGTGTGTGTGTGTACTGTTGCCAAGGGAAATGTAAGCTTTTGCACGTCTTGTGCTGAGCCAGCGCCGAGCAGCAGCAGCAGCAGCAGCAGCAGGAGGAGCAGCTGCAACGGTGGCAGCTGCAGCTGCGCTGATAATAAATTCATGATGAAGTGCAATTTATACACTTCATATGCGGCACAGACTCGGACCCCAGAGCCATGCTCCCGCTGCCCATCTCAGGCACTGCCCTTTCTACTGACCCAAACGCATCCTGGCGCCGTGTTCAGTCTTTCTGCTGAGCTCGGCATCGTTCACAAAGCCAGCCCGAAAACAACAACAACAACAACAACGAGTAAAATTTTCCAAGTTTTTCGCAGCGATGCATTAAGCCTTGAAATGTTTGCGGCTAAAACTAATTACAAATGCGACTCGTCACCCGCCACCCACTTGCCACAAAAGTGGTCAACAATATCTAGACTAAACGTTCTGAAAGAAAATTTCCTCCTTTCATTTCAAATTAATCTAATTTTTAGTGCATTTTCCTTTATGTCGTAATGCGAAATGCTGATTTTGCATTCTGCATTCTCGCATTCTCGCAATTCTCTAATTCTGAATTCAGCGTTTCGCTATGGTATGCAAATTAGCCAACTCGTTTGCCAGCCAATTTGTGTGCCACGCCCACATCCATCTGAATATTCTTCATCATGCAAATCATTTCCCCTTCGGCCTTGTTGGCATATTCAATGGCCAGCCAGGTGGTTCGTAATGGACTTGCAATAGGCCCGACTCTCGCATATATTACGATTGGGCGCACACACATTATTATTGGACTAGTCGGAAACATGGCTTTGCCAAATTAAAGCCGAAAACTCAATTTCGATGCTGCTAACTCGTCTCCCTGGAAATTATTGTGCAATTTTAAGAGCGATAATTAATAATGCTATCAGGCGTTGTTGGTATTTGTCTGAAGTGTAATTATAATAAAATATATTAGATAATGTTCAAACACTTAACAATTTATTTTCGCTACAATTAGCTTATTCAATTATATGTGCTCTTATTTATTTATTAATTGCTGCAATGAAATGTTAAGCTTTATTTTAATGCTAACATTTCATGCCCTGTATACCATTAAAGATGATTGAGAAGGGTATACTAGTTGTATGTGTAAGTATGTAACATGCAGATATGTCCATCTCTTTGTCCTTGTGAACCTCTGAAGCTATGTAAAAGCTAGAGACTTTAAATAGTAATATGTGTTCTCGTTTAAATAGACTCTATCTATCATTTGTCATCAAAATTTCTTTCAAATTTCGTGGTATCGATAAATGTAGAGACTTAAAAGTTGATCGCAGATCTAGTCTATTTATTGCATTCGATATCTCCTCCCATTTACTTGATACATCATTTCAACAAATATCAAGAAATTTTCCTTTGCCTTATGCAGAATATGCAGATAGACTCTTACACTTACTATCGCAATCTCATGCAATTTTCGTGGTATCGATAAATATCGATACTTGACAAATTTAAATATATTATATTCTTTGCTATACGCACAAATAGTCTACGAATTGCTTACTATATCTTATGCAGTTTTATATATATTCTACTTTACTATACGCAGAGCAAGTATATTATTTATTATAAATATTTGAAGATAGGGTTCTAGTATTGTATATAAAGATGAAGAAAGTTTTAGAGAAGTTATTATTTCTCCTAGTCGCGCACTCCCAACTGCATCAATATGATATTAAGCATGTAAAATTAAACAAATAATATTTATGTTCAAGTGTTTGGGGTTTTTTTTTTATACATTTTTGACTATAGTTATTTATGCTTATTGATTTTTAATAGCTTAATGGAAAGTTTTATTTATTTTTATTTGCACACTTTCAATTTATTTCAGTGGCATTTAATTACAAAAATTGATTCCTTTGTTGCTTTATTAATATTTAAATTGCAAGTGAATGTTAATAAAGTGTTTACTTAATAATAAGAATAGTTCTACTTATGAACGTTTCAAATTGAAATTCCATTTGCCAAACACTTTCTCGAGCTGTCCCCAAAGCTGTCACAATTTAGTTGACCGCACAATTTGACTTGTCAAATTGTTTTGTAATATATGCAAAAATATCTGCAACAATCAATTACTTAAATACACATGTGAATGTGAAATTGCCAGAGCTGTGCTTGCATTATTTACAAAGGAAACGCCAAAGGGCCTTCTGTTTAGTATGAACCATTTAATATTTAACTAATAAGCTGCGAAACAATTTGATTGTTCGGCCCGCATTTTGTGTGCCTAATTAGACGCCCAAATTATGTGCATGATATTAAATATTTGTTTAAATATGCAGGCTATTGCCGAGGTTAAAATGATGATAGAAATTCATTAGCAGGCTTATTGTGTAAAGAATTTATAATTTACCAATTTGTATTCAAACTAATTATATCGGCGTTTATTAAACCTTTTGTCCTGACTAAAAGAACAAGGCAGCTGCAATATATGCAGAAGTTTCCTTTTGAGTCGAAATTTAGCAGTAAGAGGGGGTTTTTGGAATATTCCATCTCCAGTTCTGGGAAAAGGGCGAATTAAAAATGACGACATCAGCCTTGAAAAAAGCTAACTTTTGAGTTCAAAGTAAGCACAGGGGGCTGTCAAAAAATGAAGCTAAAAAGCCAGCGTGGCTTTATTTTCTAAGCATCGAACAAGCAAGCGAGAAGTCGCCGGTTAAAATCCAGCAGAAATTGAAAACTTATATGTATTTCTTGAGTTGAAAAGAAAATTTCCAGGGAAAAATCAATAATTTATAATAATATAAAAACAACAAAGAAATTGAAAATTCATGAATGTTAACAAACTATAATTAAAATGTTTCGCCTGTGTTGTCAAGCAAAATGCTGTTAGATATACTTATTGGTATTTCCCCAATATCTGATCTATATATAAGTATATGACGAAGGCGGCTTCAAAGTTTGATAAATAGATAACCTAGAACCACCGATTGAAAAATCAGTCAATGTATTTAAGGCTTTAATTATAAATGAAGCAAATGAAATTGGTAATTGCGCAGGCACTTAATAAATAACTAGAGACAATTCTTATCATAATACCAAATTAGTGGGCTTAAGAGTAAAAGTGCGCAATCATTCGGGGCACACGTTAAGGCGACACCTGAAGACCATGTCCATGATGAGCATGACGATTGCCTGTAAAGGGCAGCGACACCAGCATGCTGAACAGCTTTCTTCTAAGAAGAGACAAAGAAACGAGCGAAGACAGAGAGAGAGAGAGATAGAGTGAGTGAGAAAGGAAAGAGAAGACACATATGTGATAAGCTGATTAAGAGTTCTTTTTTTCTTTTTATTAACTCGCTTACAAGATGGACCCGGAGCGTTTGGTGCGGCACTTGCCCAGCGCATCGCGGTACTGATGGGCACGACAACGTGTTGGCGTCTCGGCGGGCGCGGCACGTTGCACTTTGACCTTGAAAATTGGCGAATCGTGACCTTGAGCGGGCGTATACTCGATATTCGCAGGCAAGGGGCCAGCATCTGTTGTTGTTGTTGTGATGGGCTCATCCTTGGAGCGCGCATGCAACCATTTGGGCAACAGCGTTGATGAGCCGCCAATGGGCGTGTCCATAATAATTAAATTGTTTGACTTGGGCCGCAAACGCTGTGTGGCAGCAATGTCTGCCAAGAGCTGAGCGCTGTACGCGCTCATGTTGCTGCTGGGCGTTGGTATGCCACCAATTGCTGCTGTGCTCACAGGCACCACAGTTGTTGGTGTTGTTGTTGTTGTAGTTTCAGCTGTTGTTTTTGTTGTCGCTGTGCTGGCATCCGTGGTAAACTTGATGGGTTTTATGGTCAGCGCACTATCATCATAGTAATAGTCCTCGTCCTCCGCAATATACGATTCCTAATGAAATGCAAAAAAAAAATAAAGAAGTTATTTTTAGTCTCGTCAACTCGTTAGCTGCACACACACACACACACACACACGCATTTTGATACTCTTGCAGAGGGTATTATGATTTTGTCTTTTAATATTTAGATCGTTGTACTTGTAACAAGAGCCAATTGCCAGAGCAATGATTGAATGATGATAGATTTCGTATATAAGAACGCCTTTAGTTTTTTCCAAATAACTTGACCGATGCTGACATAAATTTGTTTTCACGTGTTTTTCATATAGAGCCCCAATTTGATCAGGATCTGACTACTATTATTATTGCTCTTAGCAAGAACAAAACTTTTCGGTTTTTCAAGCTACGAGCAATTGCGGGCTTCACAAATCTTTTCACATATCTGCAAAACCATAAGCCACACCTCTAGAAGAGTATTTCATATGCGGTTTGCCGAAAACGATCGCTCTTTCTTGTCCAACTTGTCTTGGTCACATTCCTTTCCACACTTACATCGGCCAGCTCATTTTGATCCACTTCTATGATGGCCACATCCTTGATGCTGACGTGTATATTGTATTTGCCCGTCTGCCGTTGATCGTACAGCGCACGAGCGCCTTCACTGTCCTCCGGCATCGTAGCTGCCGCCTGCTCCACGGGCTGCATTTGGACTTGCAAGAAGCTGAACATCAATATCAGCATCAACGACAGCTGCAACATTCTGACTTGAGATTGAGACGATTTGAGTGAAACCAGTTCTTAAGTTCGCAAATACCAACTCTCTGGCACTTTCAGCTTTCAAGAACTGTTGGCTTGAACGATGCGCGAGCAACTGAGCTGGTCAGTGGCTTGGAGGGCTCTACTTAAAGGTTCTGGCTCGATGGCACCTACTTAGGCCAAGGTGTGAGATTATTTTATGCTTACTTTAGGCGCTGCAAGAACCACTGAAGATGTCAGCTGCTGACGGACTTGAACAAGTTCTGCACACACATCTTTATCAAGCATACAAAATGTATAAATAAAGTTGGGCAGGCATTTCATTAATTTAATGTGAGCAGGGTTAAAATACATAAAAGACGAGCTGATGAAGAAAGTACAAAATCTTTATGAAGTTTCCTTTTGAGTCTAAAGTACTAAGTTGGAGTTTTGGAAAATTCGAACTTCATGTGTGTACAATAACAGCCAAAGAGACCCGCACAGCTTAGCTGCCTCTGCGTTGAACTAGCTAGTGAGAAATTGCCAGTTCCAATTCAATCATTTGACTTTTATATTAAATACAGCTATAATTGCTTCCAAAGAATCAAAATAGTAAGTTAATTAATAAGATTAAAGAGAAAAAAATTTTATAATATTAATATCTTATAATTTTTTATCACCTCCAACACTCAACCAAAAAGTTCAGTTTAACTTCAAAGCAAGTTCTTTACACTCGCTTCTAATTTGAAATGTTCTATTCAGTTATCATTTGGTTACAGCCTGATAATATCTTAGCTAACCGTTTAGAGCCCCTGTTTGGGTAATGCTCCAACTGTCACAATATTTACATGCACTATGCAAATGCAAACACTCGAATGCCATCTTTGAGGTGCTCGAGGAACGCTGAGGGCTGGCCGCACGCAATGTGTGCCCATGTAATTCGAGTGTTGAGTAGTGGTCAGCATGAAATGTACCCAGACCAACTAATAATGTCCAACCACATATAATCATAAGCGCAAACAGATGACAACAAGCACAAATAGTTCTGACACTTCAGTTTAAGAGCTGAGATTGGCGTGAGAATTTATTAAACATGAGAAAATGAGCAAACAGAGCAGTTCGCTACAAGAATAAAACTTAAGGAAATTAAAAATGAAAAAAGAAAATGTAGTATTGAAAGCAATTGCAATGTTAAAGAAATAAGCTGCAACATAGACTGTTAATATGAAATATGTATAAGACAATAAAGTATAATTACTGGAAGAAATTACCCGGTGCTGCGCGGGGCACATAAAAAAAAATATACAACTTAGTCTGTTGAAGTGTAATAAGTATAGGAAAAGTATAGTCTTTTACTAAAAGACATTACCCGGCTAGCATATTTAAGGAAAATTTCTTTTTAAACACATATATTTGTTAGGTTTTTTTTTGTTCAAAATTTTATATAATTGCGCTCATATTTAACTTTCATTTTGATTTCGTTTAAACGCTTAATTTAACCTTTCGCTAAAATTAAAACACTTTCAATGTTTGCTGTCAGAGCCCATTTACAATTTCTGTTCGATTTTGTTTATTATTTTTTTTTTTACTTTTTGAATGTAATTTTTCGTTAAAAATGTCTGTAATTGGAATTGATGAATTGTGCTGGCCGTTGCATTTATTTGCTTAATTGAGGAGTCGATTGCTTTTTGTATTGATGCATGAATTTCGCAACACTTTTCTTCTACTATAGCCTGCCATTTTTTTGGCGCAGTGCAAGGTGCGAGATGTGAGCTGCGAACGGTAGGCGCCATAAAATTCATTTTTCATCTTAAATACATTCGAGTTAAATGATTTTTTATAGAAGTGTGCATTTATATATGTGTGCATATGTGTTTGTGTGTCAGCCTTTTGCATATATGTATGTGTATTCATTAATTTGTGTTTGTAATTTCCGCAATTGCAAATGGCCGACGGCAGCTGCAATTGCAACTGCAACTGTAATTGTGTGTGTGTGTGTGTGCGTGTGCGCTGCTTAATTGCAACTGTTGCATGCGTGTGTGGCATGTGTGACAGTGGGTCTGCGCGTGTGTATGTTTGCGTGTGTGCGTCCCCCGTACGCAGTGCACTAATTAAATTAATTGCTTAATTTTAACTTAATTTGCCACATGTGGCAAGTTGTGCTCGTTTTGTTGGCCCATTGCTCACGTGCATTTGCTTTTGCCAGCCAATTGCTGCACGTACTCTTTGGATAACCATAAAATTTGGTTTGTTGCCATAACAACTGCTCGTATGCGTGTGTGCGTGTGTGCGTGTGGTTGTTTGTGTGTGTGCACAAATTGAGGCTTTTTGTATGACAAAACTTCAATTTCTACCTGGTCAACTTTTAAATTTTGCGATGCATGAAAAACATTTACGCCCTGTTGCTGCTGGTGGAAGCTGCAAGCTGCAACTTTTTCAACATTTTCCCTTATAATATATAAGAATATTAATATAAATATAATACAAAGTAATAACGTAACAACCAAGCATTGAATCTGTAAGCTTTAAATCAGATAATGGTCTAGCAAAAGGAAGTCTTGAAAGAGCACACATTCTCGATCTCCAGCATAGAGAAATCAAATAAGTTCAACTTCAACGTACAATATAGGTATACAATTTATTTATAATAAACAATTAAATATTTAGCCAGGTGAAAGATTGGGGGGAACTTAAATGTTCTTATTTCCTGCATATTTTAAAAACATTTCAAACTTGATGTCTTTAAGTCCTAATATCATGCTGGGAATAAACCCAAAATGTATTGCTTTGCTTTGCTCTCGATACGCATATAGATGCTATACTCCAATGATTAAAACCAAATTGAATAATAATAAACTGTAATAGAGAAACGCAATTACTTATTAAATGGAATGGAGATTAACGGACAGATTTTGCTAGATCAACTCGTTTATTTATGCTGAGCGTGATTATATAAACAACTTAGCTCAGATATGTGCATGTTGTCTGTTTTACTTCTTTACACATGTTTATGAAATCCTCTTAACAAATTTTAATGGCAACTTTCTTGAGGAACCTAAGAATGCAAATCGCATTTGCTTGGCGCTGCAATTGTTATCTCTTCTTGTTAATCTAGTGTCCGAAAAGCGAAATATTCGTAATGCCTCAAAAGAGACAAAGTTGCCGCTAGGTGCCAGTTGTCTGATTATGCAAATTGACAGCAGCTGCAGCTGCTGTGACAGTTGTGGTTGTTGTTGTTGTTGCTGCTGCTGCTGCTGCTGCTGCTGCTGTTGTCTTGGCTAGCTTCTATTTTCTTTCATTTTTTTTTTTTGGCAACTTGCAACACTAATTACCTACATTAGGCAACCTGCACAGCACTGCAACTCAATTAGCAAACTGTAAGCGGCACTCTTTGCAAACTGTGCAACATTGTCGTTGTTGTTGTTGTTGTTGGTGCTGTTTTTGTTTGTTGCATTATTCACGCTATCCTTTGACCTTTTGGCCATAGCCATTGCAGCAGGCAGCTGACGGCAGCAGCTACGTAAATTACACAGCGCTTAAATGCGCTGTTTTGTCAAATTAAACCAAAGCTAAATAAGCCAGCTGGCCAGCCAGAATGAAGACTGGATTGTCGCACGGAGATTGCGAGGGGTTGCTGGCTGGCAGGAAGTTGCAGTTGAGCAGCCTGGCGACAACGGAAGCTGGGCCCAAAAACAACCAACACGCAACAAGAGCAACAACAAAGCAAAGGCAAACTTTTGCCAAGCGGAATTGTAGCAGACACCCAACAACTACAACAACTACAACAAGAACAACAACAATTGCGGGTGGGTTTTGGTGGCAACTATAGCGAAAGTGTTGCGGAAGTGCTGCTAAAAGGGCGGCTTTCGGGTTGGGCTTAGGTAGCTGGCGTTATAACGGATGCCGGACGCCATCTTGCAGTTGTGCACAAACATGGCCGCCACTTGGTAGACCATTTTGATTACGGTTCTTTTTTCTCTCTATTTAAATGTTTGCATCATTACTATTGTTATTATTTATATGTGATAACATTTTCATTATGGATTGCAGCCTTTTTTTAACTTTTGCGGCGTTATTATTATTATTATTTATATGTGAAACCTTTTTTACTAGCGTCTATTCTCTGTCTATTATTGTTACTTTTATTTAAATATGCAAATTATATTGAGTACGGGGTTTTTTTCTCCCTCTTTAAACGTTTTCATGACTTTTATTATTATTATTAATATTATTATGATTATTATTATTATTATTATTATTATTATTATTATTATTCTTATTATTATTATTATTCTTATTATTTTCATTCTTATAATTCTTATTATTTTTATTATTATTATTATTATTATGATTATTATCCTTATTATTATTATTATTATTTATATTATTATCATTATTATTATTATTATTATTATTATTATTATTATTATTATTATTATTATTATTATTACTATTATTCTTATTATTTTTATTCTTATAATTCTTATTATTTTTATTATTATTATCATATTCAATGGTATGTCCTCCAGGGTATTCGATCTTCGACATCTAGCAGATACCTTGTTAAATTTGCATCTAAATGTTTCTTATCCTTTTTGCATGCCTGGAGGCGTTTATGCGTCCCAGCAACAGCAAAAACTACTCCAATCGCATTTCCATAGCCATTTACAAGCGATATACCCTCCCCTCTACTCTTTGGCCCACCGTCACGCTGTTCTTATGCAAACAGAGAGAGTCCAGCATAATAATTACGCTTCGCTATCAGCACCGACATTCAGCATGAAAAATTGCCTGGCAGCGCCACCTGTTGGGCTACTGCTGGCTAGTACCTCCTGCGTCCTACTAACTAACTGCAGTTGGTTCTGATTCCCAACAACAACAATAACTATGCAAAGCCATAAAACGCAAGTGTCACACGGATTATTCATGAATGGAGCATGCAAATACAGCAAACAAGCTGCAGGCGGAACCCACATGAATTCCTCTGTAAAGGTATAAGTTTTTGTGTGCCTAGTGTTGGAAAACGTGAAGAAATTTAAAGATGTTTTCTATCACAGAAGAAAGATTAAAATTTCCTTAAGTTATTTTTTTAGCAAATCAAGGCAAAGAGAGAATGGTTTATACTTAATAATAAAATCAATTTTGAGCATAAGATACGATATATTTTACTTATGTTCGATATTTAGAATGCCAAACGTTCCTCGCATGGCTTAATTTGATATTAACTACAATTTAGGACACGCTTATACGGTACCACTTAGCCCTCATATAATACGAGTATTGTGTCGATAAACTAAAACCTCTTCAAAAGATAATACAGATTATAATCGTAGATCTTGAAAGTGACTGCAGCTACTTGGCATCGCCAGCGCTTTTATTCTTAATCACCGTTTTTCTGGCCTTTTCGATCTTTTCGTGTCTGTGCCAGTCCTCGACATAATCCTTATTTACCCTGGCAATGCTGGCCAGATAGGCCACATAGTCGACATCGCTGTCGAGTGCCAGTATTTCACCGTACAGTGAGCTCATCTTCAAGCTGTAGCGGGCCAATGCATCCGGCACCTCGTATTCATTTATTTCCGTCTCATCATAGAACTTTACCAGTACCTTGTGGCCCTTGGTAAAGCGTTCGCTGGCACCCGGCGCTTTTAGCTGACGCTGTAGCTCCAGCATATCCTCCTTCACCTGACGCAGTGCATCCATTTTGATTTGCACCTGTTCCTTGAGCAGTTTCGTTATGTCGTGGCATTGTTGCTCCTGACCCAAAATAAATTCCGATAGTTTCTCGAAGCTGCCATTGATATTCTTCGATTCATCCATAAATTTGCGTATGTCCGTGATGCGCTTCACATCGGGCAAGGCCAAATGATTATTATTACCGGTTAGGGTAATCAATTCTGGTACTTCCAGACTGGCGGTACCCATGCTTCGAAATCGTTTAAATATATTAGTTTCTTTGTTTGTTTCAATAGTTTCAAATAGTTTAATATATTGTTTTATGACTTTTGACTGAAGATTGAGTTTGTTTTTCTATATCTGGCTGCTTCACTTCATACTGAAAGCCTGCTTGACCGTTAAGTTTGTTTGAAAAAAAAAATCTATACCTTTTTTTAAAGATGGTTTATATAATAAATTAATAGTCATATTATAATATGCATATGCTTAAGTATTTAATAGTTCACTTTTGTAATATAAACAAGAAAGTAAGAATATTAGACACGCCGAAGATTTACTTATGGGATTGATGTATTGCTCCGGTTCCAATATGTGTACTGCCAAAAAAAGGCTATATCGACTCGTCTGCTGATGCTGATCTACACTTTTCATGACAACATTAGAATACCCTCTACAAGGGTATCAAATATTATTTTTTCATTGTCACGATTTACGGTTAGCCCAAAAGTATGCAATACATTTCTCAATAATATATAAAAATATCTAACTATTCACGAACGATTTCATTTAATATAACCCGTTTTTATGAAATAATAATTTAATAAACCATTTTAAGCATTGCTGTGGACACAAACCTGAAAACTGAGATGCTTTATAGTCAGTTGTAGTTATATATATATATATATATTTTCCGATACCCTTGTATGGGGAACTATCCTTTTTTTAGTAAATTTGTAACATTTTGCAAAGGACTTGCTTGATGCGCAAAATTCAATATTACAATGAGCTAATACCTTATGGTCCATATCCAACTATATATCTAAGTAAAGCTTTGTACGTAATTCTTGATGCAGCTTTAACTAAAATAATTTGATATAAAAAATGTATACCTTTATTCAAATCAATTACTTGCACCTTTAGCTAAACATGCCTTTTAATCTGTTAATAAGAATCAACTAATACATTTCATAATTAACAAAACATTATATCCTAGTTATTAAAATTTGACATTTGACAGTATCTTTGCAGTCTGAGTTTTATAAGCACTTAACTCAAATGTCTATTTATTTTAAATTAAATTAAATGCTTTAGAGAGAATTAAAGCTTCGTTCATTTACGCTTGAACATTTCTATTAGTTGCTTTTTGTGCCTGTCGCCAAATTAAATTAAATACTAAAACCAATAAGCAAATATTCATTTTGTATTCAGCCGCTTGATTGTTTTACTACAAAAAAAAAGCTATCTATGTCAGTTATTATCGATTGAATTTCAATTTTTGTGCTTATCTGTTCTTTGAATATATATATGTATATACATATATACATATATATGTAGGAGTTGGAAACAGAACTAGGAGTGGTCGAACTTACAATCAGTTAAATTAAACAGGCGAGTATAATGTTGGCATTATACTCATTTGGTAATATAAAATCACTTATCATATGCAACCCTGCTATGGATATTTAATCAACGATAGATTTATCGATAAAAATACAAGAAGGAGAAGTTCAGTTGTAAGCTAGAAGAGTCAATGAAAAGATGTGTTCGCTGTTGCTCGTTGTCTTTGAAATACATGTCGGAAAATGTACAATAATCATAAGTTTACGCTTGTTCACCAATTTCTCTAAATAAAATAATATGAACACAAAGAACTCAAGTGCTTGTGAAGGCCATCGAATGGTCATCCCTACAAATTTGGTGTCAGAAGTGGGATAGACAGAAATTGTGAAATTCGTAAATTGATTAACGAGTACAAACGTATGCAAGACTATTAATCGGAGCATAAAACGAAGCGGGTGCATGAAAATTCATTAAAATTCGTATGCCCTGGAAAAAATGGAAAAAGTCAAGAATCGTCTAGGATTAATGGCGACAGCGGCGAAGTATGCCTAGAGAGCTCTAGTAAGAGCGAGACAAACAGTCGTGTATTGCGTGACAGTGGTCGATAAGCGCAAGCGAGAAGGCGATGTTTTAAATTCTGCGTAGCAAAGGCTGGATAGCGCAAAATTTTCACTTCGTGATGAAATAAGAAGTTGCAGATCAAAGAGGCGAAGAGCGAAGAGCGCGGAATCTTTCAATAAAAGAGCGTGTGACTGGAACGTGCTTCAACACGACAACGATGATCACAGGGTGTAACAAGTTACAGATCAACAACAGAGTATGTTATTTCGTCATTATATGAAAATAATTAACTAGTTGTTGAGTAAAGAGTGTTAAATCAGTAAAAAATTTTCAAAGAATCAAATTATAACAAAGAAGAAATTAAGTGTAAGCAAACACAAAGTGAAAGTATAAGTTAAGACAGACGAATATAATAATTTAATAATTTCTAAAGTTGCTGAAAAAAAAAACTAAAATTTGATTCATAAGAGTTTAATTACTTATACCATTAAGTTAAGTACATTGAATTGTTTATTTGTAAGATTCAATTTTAAGCATTGTGAAAAGCGAGCAACGACGATAACAAAATGAACAGAGACGAAATTTTGGCGTTAAGAGTTAACGAATTAAAAGAAAAGTTATCGGCACTTAGTTTGGTAACAACAGGTAGAAAGCAAACTTTGCAAGACCGACTTTTAGAATATTATGGGTTGCAGGTTGACGATAATGAATCTGAGTATGACGATGCTGGGTCGGCTCATACCCGTCAAAGCTCACCAATGCAGATAGTCCGAACAACGTTTACATTACGCGACATTGAAGATTCACTCTCGCAATTCAATGGGTCAAATCAACCAGCTGTTGAAAAATGGATTCATGAATTTGAAGATAACGCTTTGGCAGTGCAGTGGAACGACCTTCAGAAATTTATTTACTCAAAGCAATTACTAAAAGGTGCAGCAAAATTATTCGTGCGCAGTCAGCATGGAATTTCAGATTGGATATCTTTAAAGCAAGCGCTATTGGAAGAATTTGGGACGGTAGTTTCATCAATAGACGTCCACCGCATGTTGCGGAATAGGCGTAAGCGTCAAGGTGAAGATTATATAGAATATCTGTATAGCCTTATGGAAATTGGCGGACCTCTTAACCTGGATGACTCAAGCCTGATAGAATATTTTATTGAGGGAATACCTGACTCGAGGAGTAACAAAAGTAATCTGTATCAGGCCAAGACTCTGCAGCAACTAAAAGAACAAATCAAGGTATATGAGAAAATCCGTAGTAGTCGCCCTCAAGCGTCTAATACGGGTAGGATGCATAACGATACCGAAGAAAAGAAACCTGACTTGAATAAAGAACGAATTAAGAAATGTTTCAAATGCGGCGATCCATCACATCTAGCCAGAGAATGTAGACAGCCAATAAAATGTTACAAGTGTGCTCAACCAGGGCATAAGGCAGCTAACTGTTCAGGATCGCGTGCAGTGGAGAAGAAAGAAGGCCAAAATGCGAACACGATGATAAACAAGGCCAACAGTAGTGGAAAATGCATTTTTAAGGAGTTGTCTTGTAAGAACATATGCTTCTCTGCATTAATCGATACAGGCTGTGACCTCTGTCTGATACGCGATGATATCCTTAAAGAGCTAGGAAAAGTTGAACTGAATAATGAAAAACAGTGTCTTGTTGGTATCTGTAATAGTGAGCTAAATACACTGGGAAGCTTTGTCACTCAAGTCGAAGTTGATGGTATCTTACTGGATATAACCTTTCATGTTACGAGCAGAGACGACATCCAATACTCAGCTGTAATAGGAAACAGCGTATTGAAGCAAGCGGACTTAATAGTATCGGAAAATTTCGTAGAATTTCGACCCAAAGTGAAGGACAATGCAAACGAGAGAGTAATTGACAAGACATCAACAATAACAGAAGATACTGTCGAAAATAAGAAGCCAGACATAGAGCTTTTACAAGAATTCAAAGATGTATGTCTTTTTGCAGAAAATCAGGAGGCTGAGATCGATCTACATCACTTAGAAAAACCTGTTGCAGACGCAGTTCAAGCAATAATTAAAAACTATTCACCTGAAATGAAGAAGAAATGTCCAATTGAAATGAAAATTTTGTTAAATGATGAGCGTCCAGTTTTCGAACGCCCAAGGCGCATATCACATGCGGACAAGTCTATTGTCGATTCGCAAATCAAAACTTGGCTAGAAGAAAAGATCATACAGCCAAGTACATCGGAGTATGCATCTCCTGTTGTCCTCGTTCCGAAAAAAGATGGTACCAAAAGATTGTGCTGTGACTACAGGCGTTTAAACGAAAAGATCGCGAGGGACAATTTTCCAATGCCCTTAATAGACGATGTGATTGAGAGATTGCAGGGCCAAAGTGTGTTTACTACACTTGATCTCGCAAACGGATTTTTTCATGTTCCAATTGAGCCAAATTCGAGAAAATTTACATCATTTGTAACAAGTGCAGGGCAATATGAATTCCTGTTCGTCCCTTTTGGAATATCGAACTCCCCAGCTGTATTTTCCAGATTCATTCATGCAATTCTTGTAGATCTGGTACAGGATGGTACAGTCGTAACTTATATGGATGATCTTATAATTCCCTCCAAGGATATAGATGAAGGTATCCAAAAGTTAAAGCGCGTACTGGACAGAGCAGCAGAGTTTAACTTGCGTATTAAGTGGAGCAAGTGCCAGTTTCTCATGAAGGAAGTTGACTTTTTAGGGTACGTTATACAGGGAGGCACAATAAGACCATCTGCAAGAAAAACCCAGGCAGTTCAAAATTTTCCTATACCGCATGACCGAAAGAGTTTGCAGCGTTTTCTCGGATTAACATCGTACTTTAGGCGCTTTGTAGAAGACTATGCGCTGATAGCCAAACCGCTCTCCGATTTGTTACGGAAAGACGTGCAATTTAAAGTTGATGAAGAACAACTAGTCGCATTCAGGCAATTAAAATCAGCATTAGTTAGTACTCCAGTATTGCGATTATATAATCCGAAAGCCAAGACTGAAGTGCATACGGACGCCTCAATGAATGGTTATGGTGGTGTACTCTTGCAAAAAGACTCGGACGATCAATTGTTGCATCCAATTCAATATTTAAGTCGGAAAACAAAACCCTCAGAAGAGAAGTATCATTCTTATGAGCTTGAGGTGCTGGCTATAGTCGAGGCCTTGAAAAAGTGGCGCGTTTACTTACTTGG